CACATCTCTTAGGACACAGCGGTGCCCAGCCCAAGCAGGGCACACCGCCACTGTATGCTCCACCGTGTCCTCTGGGTGGTCCTCGCAGTGATGACACCCGGGCGTTTCCTCCCGCCCAAACCGAAACAGGACCCTACCGAAACTGGCAGGTTATGTTCTGGAATAACACACATACTTTTTAATGCACGACACTTTTTTTTTTTTTAATGGGGGAAAATCATCGAATGACTGCTCCCGCCTGGGTGAGGCGGGAGGGAGTGTCAGACTCTTACTGACTAAAAACCACCCTGTTCCTTCTCCTGCACGTCGAGCCGGAGCCCCGGTTACCCGTTAGGTTCTCCGCGACAATGCACGACACTGGGGGCGAGAGAACAGAGGGCTTAGAACGAGTTTATTTTACGGCGTCCGGCGCTCTGATTGGCCGGCTTCAATGAACCAAAAATCCATGAAAATCAAAGCGCCGATCGCGATCTCGTCTTCGTTTCGCACTAAGACCCCAGACAGAAGCTCGTATAATAAATACGAGTGTATGTTTGATTGCGTTTCTCTCAATTTACAATATACCTGATGTTATGTTAAAATTTTTATGTTCTACTTTTTTCATTGACATCGTGAGTTACAGTAGGTAGGTACATAAATACAAAATTTCGTCTTTTATTTCCTAAAATAGGCCATTGAATTTTTCGGGTTAGCAGAGGCGCATATAAATTAAATGTGGTTAAGTTTTAACCAGAAACCAGTAACTTATTGTCATTGCATCGATTATAAAGCTAGTCTTCATGCCATCACAAAAAATTTGACTAACCCACGAATTGAATTCTAAACACCTTTCCCTGCTGCTACTCTTGAGACAATTTATCAAATAAAATAGTGATAGAAGAGAAAGATTAAAATTATTATCTATACTAACTATACTAATATTATAACGCTGAAGAGTTTATTTTTTTGTTTGTTTGTTTGAACGCGCTAATCTCCAAAACTCCTGGTCCGATTTGAAAATTTTTTTCTGTGTTGGATAGCCCATTTATCGAGAAAGGCTATAGGCTATAAAATATCATGATACAATTAATAGACACCGAGCAGAGCGAGTCAAACCGCGCGGAAGTAGCTAGTTTAAACATATTAAATCTGATATAACGACATATTATTTTAAGAGAGGGTGAGCTGACAGCGTGACCTAGTTCCAACTTATATTTATTACTCTACTCATATAACGTTACATATGAGAATTCTTATATATTTATATTTGGTTTATAAGTTTTCTTTCGTTACATAAAATATGATGTCTGAAATTGTAAGTTGCTGTGATGGTTCAGTGGCTTTTTTTCATTAAATGACTCCTCCTGCCTTGGGTAAGGAGGAAGAGAGTGTCAGACTCTTATTGATTAAAAACCACCCCGTTCCTACTCTTGCACTTCGGGCCGGAGCCCCGGACACCCGTTAAGTTCTCCGTGGCTCCGTAGGTTTTTAGTCAATAAGCCGCTGTTTTCAGAGACTCAATGGCGTGACTTTATATTATGTAACACTGTAACTAACCAGAAATGTGTACACACTTGGTGGGATATATATTTTTACTGTTGCTATGTTAAATGTCTAAGATAATCACGCTTGATAGACTCGAGTGACAAAAGAGTCCTAATATAATCATGGTCTCAGAAATAACAAATGAAAATAATTCTTAAAATGAATAGGAATAAATATTATATTCCATTGGTGCTCTCTCGAGCTCGAAGGCATTAGTTCTAGTGACTGAAACGTGGCCGTTTTCCTCACATTTTTTATCAAATCTAATATAAAACACCGGTTGATAGAACCTTTCAATTCTATAAAAAATATGAGGGAGAATAAAAATAAATCGATTCACATTTATATCATGGTCTAGTTATAGGATACATATATTATTATGGTGTTTCATATCCTATCTCATTGGCCGTTGGACTGCCTCGTTGGCCGCGTGGTCGCAAGTGCGACTGCGGCTCTCAGATCTCGGGTTTGATTCCCGGATCGGGCAAAGTATTACTGGGTTTAAAAAAAAATAGTAGTATCACGGAGTCTGGAAATGTGCCCAGTATATGGCAATAGGTTCACCCCCTATTAAATGGGACTCATAACATAAATAGTGAAAAGTGGGTGTTACATTGTACAGTGGCATAATGTGCACCTTTGCCTAACCCTTCGCGGATAAAAGGCGTGATGTTATGTTATGTCATATCCTATCCTATCCTATCCTATTCTAGGTAAAGAGATTTTATAGCATAGCTGTCGCCCTCGTAGCAGATACATAGCCTGTATACCAGATTTCATTAAAATCTGTTCAGTAATTTTACCGTGATTGACTGACAAACATCCAAACGGAGGAACTATCATATTTATTATATCAGTGTGAAACCTATAATTTAAGATTAAGGACTGTAACCCTTTTCTCTGTCGCGGAGAACCTAACGGGTTACCGGGGCTCCGGCTCGACGTGCAGCAGAAGGAACGGGGTGGTTTTTGGTCAGTAAGAGTCTGATACTCCCTCCCGCCTCACCCAGGCGGGAGCAGTCATTCGATGATTTTACCCCCTTAAAAAAAACCCTATTTCCTCGATTAACTTTTGCAGTCACACGAGAATTTATTGCCGACTTGTTTAGTACTTTGTTAAGGAACTGAACGTGTTTGATATGTTTTGCTTATTAAATTATACAAAAATGTCTGAATATACTTTCTTTACTTATACGGCTGGACTAGACAACTTTTTTTTCGTTTTACTTCTGATGCTAAAGTCAATAACTAGAAATAAGAATGTGAAAAATTTTGACAATTTATAATGTCTATTATTTTTAATGAACGGGCCTGAATTAAACATGAGAGATACCATTCAGTATGAAATAAGGCAATATAATTATAAATATTTTCTATACGAACATTCTATATGGCAGAAGCTAGTAGCATTAATGTATGAGTATTTGAGAGCTACATATAGATATATTGGATTCTTTGATTCTCAAAATATCACTATAACAAGGATTCCAGTATAAAATACGGTAATCATCAATAAGATTTTGAGATTCTAGAACTTAATTTGAATCCTGATGGAAATATATATATATTCTTTAATACTAAGGAACAAAGAAAGGAGAGAATCTCAGCTGGCATTTGGATTAGTTAATATCTTAGAAATTGTTACCGTTTTAATAAAACCGTGATACTACATCAAAGCATTCTGTTTCGTTCCGTATTTTCATATTAAGCAAGTATTAGTTTTGGTAAAGAGGTCGTTTCCCCTTATAATTTTAAATTTTGGCTGCATGGTTGGTGCGGTGGCTGGGCAACCGGCTGCCGTGCAACGTGTCGCGGGTTCGATTCCCGCACGAAACGACTCTTTGTGTGATCCACAAATTTCTGTATCGGGTCTGGGTGTCATGTGTATGTGAACTTGTATGTTTGTAAACGCACTCACGACACAGGAGATAATCCTAGTGCGGGAAAACGATTAAAAAAAAATATTTTTGTACCACAATTATTCCTCGTAAATTATTACAAAATATAATTCTATAAAACCTCGCTCGATTGGTCGCAAACACGACTACTTAGCATGCGTGTTAGGGTGGACAAAGCAGAGCCGAATTTTCCTTAAAGCAAACTATGTGAGTACCTAGGTAATCAGGCTATAGCCTCCGCGAGACGCGCGTGCTCAACTGAGTGGCGGCGGCGCCATAAAATAATAATGGCGTCTATGAGATGCTTACCTAGACGCTCTCTAGCTATAATCCGCCTGGACGGTGAGCAAAGGTAGCTCGTTGCCTGACCAGTACCAGAGCATACGGCGTATCGCGTTCCGCACGCTCCTTAACGAGCCATCACACCACCACAGGTGGGGTCCAATAGGGCTGATGCCGATACGAAGCCGTGGAAGGCTTAACGGGTTGCCGAAGCCCCGGCTCAAAGAGCAGGAGTAGGAACGGAGTGGTTTTTCATCAGTAAGAGAGTATGACACTCTCTCTCGCCTTACCCAAGGCAGGACAAATAATCCCTTAACAAAAAAAAGATGTTACTCGCCTCTGGGACATAGTATTAGATTTTCCAACCACTTCAGCAACGGTAATATTTCTCACTATTTTATATAATGTTCCACGTTGTTTGTCCACAGTATACGTGTTTCTTGGCGAGCATATAGCGCTGGTGGACTTCGTGAAGGTGATGCAGCGCCGTGGTCTCCTCACTGCCGGGGAGTATGCCATAGTGGCGGTGGATGATGAGATCTATGACCCCAGCATTGCTGCCATCACTCATGCTGGTATGTTTAAAGTTGTATTTAACTTCAAAGTCAAAGTCAAAGCATTTATTTCGAATAATTCTTAATAAGGCACTTGAAACGTCAAAAATTGTATTGTCCGTCCATTTGTATGTCAGTGAAGTTAGGTTCTAACCTTCTTCGAGGTTGCAACTAGTTCAGTTTTAAATATCGAATTCATGTAGTTTTTTATTCTTTTTTTAAATTCCTGTGTAAAAGTGGTATTTTGTAGCCAATTTGCAAAAGAAATTCAATTGTTTCACTAGTTTTTTCACTTCGGACTGAATTTAAACTTTAACCTGACTGAAAAGCAGGTTGTATGGAGTTGGTTTGATAGTAATAAAGCTGCATGCATATCAACCGTGCAGCCCTACTGCAGGTAATATGCGATTAATTGCAAATTAGCTGCGTGGTGGAATTGTGGTTCAAATGCAGTTTATTGCACTAGACACAAAAGATATTTTTCTGTTTCTTTCGTTTCATTGTAAAGGCGGTAAAACAAAGTAAAATACAATAAACATTAAACCTTACAAAATAAAATTGCTACCTGTGATAATGAAGTACGCAGCTATCTATTTAAATATGTTATCAACACACCAACGGTTAAGCACCTATGTATTCTAGGTTTTATATTCCATCAGGCAAATTAGTTTTCTACCCCTGTCTACTTTGTTGTGAATAATATTGTTATTTTCTTTCTTTTAATGTTTTTGTTTGTTCACAGACCATCTTGATCTTGGCCAGAATACTAGCAATGACGTGTTGGCGTTCCGCGCTGTACTGAGACTCACGCCTTCATTTCCGACTAATCCTCACTATGGGTAAGTAGTGTTTTTAAATTTAAAATGACAAATAATTTAGTCTACAAAATAATAATGTGAGATAACGATAAGATGAATCTTTTGTAAATGTTTTCTGGGAGTATTCAAAGCTCGAATGAAGCGCTACTTGCTTGAAGCGTGCTCTATCGTAGGTCGCGTCAACACTTACTACCAAATAAGACAGCGGCCAACGACGATCAATTTCCAATATAAAAACAAGACAGAGAATATTAAATACAGGTAATATAACCTGGGATTTTTCGTTTGGCTTCGATATTTCTAAGTAATTTCAGTAGGTACTCACATTTTATTGTATCAAGTCTATGACTAAAGCTTACCTTTTTTGATAGTGGGTTTCAAATAACCACAGTGATATATTTTTAACCGACTTCAAAAAAAAGAAGGAGGTTCTCAGTGTGTGTATGTATTCATGTTTGTGCGCGTTCATCTCGCGATTGGCTGAACCGATTTTCATGCGGTTTTGAGAAAAGTGTTTGTTACGTACTTAGGAGAATGTTTGAGTATATTAAATTTTTTTTATTGGATAAGCTGGTAAACGAGCATACGGTTCACCTGATGGTAACCAATCAACGCCCATGGACACCTGGAACACCAGAGGCGTTACAAGTGCGTTACCGGCCTTTTGGGATTAGGAATTTAAGGATTGTTGGGGATTTAGGGATTGGGGAAAGGGGGGGGGGGGTAATTGGGCATCCGGTAACCTCACTCATATGACGTAAGATAACACAACGTTGTTTCACGTCCGTCTTCTGTGAGGCCGTGGTATCATTCCGGTCAACCCGGCCCATTCGTGCCGAAGCATGGCTCTCCCACGCTTAACCAAATTCCAAAAAAGATATTGTTTAAGTGGGTTTTTTAAAATGTAGTTTATAAAAGATCGAATCCTTCTATTGTCTACGCGGAACGAAATGCATATGAGCATATACCGACTATTCCATCCAAAGCTAAAATTCGTCCGTAGTTAGAAATTAATAGAACCGTATATTTTCATATCATGGGTTCGCCCACACAATTATTATTGTGGTTATCCTACTTCTATTGTGGTTTATCAGTTCTATATATAAAGTTGTGTTTTGTTTCGATTTATAAACATGTGGGATTCTGTTTTAGCGATTGACTTGATGGTAGACTAAATAGTCATTCTATTTTTGAACTTTTTCTTGGTATCTTTATATTTGTGTCTAAATTGGAACTTGGCTGAGTTATGTTGACTGATTAGTAGGTAAAATTAGTGTAGTGAAATTTTAAATAGTTTAGTTAGTTATTTATTTTTTATTCAGATTTTTAATTTATTTATTTGTTCTATACAATTGCATAAAGACTTAATGCTAACAATATTCACTAACAGTCATCATTTAGTTATCGTATAAATATTTTTCTATGTACAAGTCGCAACAGGTCGTAAGTGCGACTACCGGGCAAGGTGTAGGTTCGATTCCCAGATCGGGTAAAGTATAACTAGGTTTTTAAAAATCTTCAGTAGCACGGAATATGGAAGTGTGTCTGATATATGGCAATAGGCTCAATTACATGGGACTTATAACATAGATAGTGAAAAGTGGGTGTTACATTGTACAGTGGCATTAAGTGCACTACCTACCCCTTCGGGAATATAAGACGTGATGTTCTTATGCGTTATTGAACCACCAATCCGACCCCTGAGAAGTCAAGATATTATTATTTTGTAAAGTAAATCTCATAGACTTGAAACAGCAAACTTATCGCACTACCACAAGTGACGTAACAACGCATTCCTGCACACTCTTGTAGCATGAAAAGACACATACTTGCAAGGAAACGAGTTCGATGTACCGATGGCATATTTCTGTACCGTATCCATCAGATTGTTTGACATATTGTCTGCATCAAAGTTGATGTATTGTTTTCTAAGCAAGGAAATTGATATCAAACACGTATTGTTTTGATACTTCCTAGTGATTCTTACGTATGTGTAGTGTCAAGGATATTATTGACGTAGCTTAGGGCTTTTATCGAAAGAAAAAACAAAAGGTACAGGTATTTGTCTAACAACTATCGTGGAATATATTGACTACATGGTTGGTGCGGTGACTGGCAACCGGCTGCCGTGCAACGTGTGGCGGGTTCGATTTCCGCACGGAACAACACTTTGTGTGATCCACAAATTGTTGTTTCGGGTCTGGGTGTCATGTGTATGTGAACTTGTATGTTTGTAAACGCACCCACGACGCAGGAGATAATCCTAGTGTGGGGCACCTTTTTAATCAAAAAAAATAATGCAACATACTGAATGGAATTAATATGAACTTCTATTATTCTATGATCTTTTGTTTTTAAGGTTTTAACAGTCTACACTGTTCTATTTTGAAGATTTACTATACTGCTCAATTAATTTCAAGTTGCACTGCAGCTTATAGCCAAATAAATGCCATAAACGGTAACCTTAATCTACAAATTTAATTTAATTTGAAAACAGTTTAATATTATTTATGATTATGGACATTATAGGATTAATTAAATCTGTATTGGCATGAGTATAATTGTGTAAAAATAATAGTACTCAACAGAAATTAGTTAGAGTAGCTAGCCTCGTTGGTCGCAAGTGCGGTTGCCGGGCAATGAATCTCGGGTTCGATTCCTGAGTCGAGCAAAGTAGTACTGACTTTTAAAAAATTCTCAGTAGTAGCACGGAGTCTAGAATTATGTTCAGTATATGGCAATAGGCTCACCTCCTATTACATGGGACAATAATATATAGTGAAAAGTGGGTGTCACATTGTACAGTAGCATTAAGTGCCGTAATGTGCACCTGCCTACCCCTTCGGAGATAAAAGGCGTAATGATGGTGTGTAAAATTGAAAAAACAAAATATACTTATCAAGAAATTAGTAGGAGCAGCTACATTCATACTTTCAGTAAGAATCCGTATCTAGATTTCTAGGGAAACTTTTATACCGTAAAATATTTATACTTTCAGAAAATCTTTACAGAAAACGAATAGTATCGTACAAGTTCTGTGAAATAATATCAAATAACAGTTTAAGCACTAAATATTAATAAAACCAGTCAAACGAATCAACATATTTTTAGCTAACACAAAACCGATATTAAGAGGAAATATTTTATTGACTTGTATTATGTCTTGGTTTTTTGTATGGATAAAATAATTTGAATAGGTAACTACTATCACATTTAGGATTTTCTCTGAAACGTATCCAAGGTTTTGTTCCACGTGCCTCGCCGAGTTTTCAAGAGAATAAATTATTTTTGATCATATTAAAATATAATGCCAGATAAAAGAAAGATAACATAACACCACGCCTTTTATCCCCGAAGGGGTAGGCAGAGGTGTACATTATGCCACTGTACAATGTAACAACCACTTTTTCACCATTTATGTTGTGAGTCCCATGTAATAGAGGGTGAGCCTATTGCCATATACCGGGCACAATTCCGGACTCCGTGCTGAGAATCTTATGAAAAACCCAGTAATACTTTGCCCGGCCCGGGAATCGAAAGAAAGAAAGAGACAGATAGAAAGAACATTGAAGATATAAAGAGTCAAAAGTATGTGTTTGTCTCTAACTATATTCACAAGTTATGATATTTATTCAAAGTTCAGTCACGATTTCAAAGTTAGCAATACTATGATTCGCTACGGCGTAGCTCATAGAAGCTACGAGTGCTACGCCGTAGTAAACTCGTAGCAGATTTCAATTCAACGAATGCCACAAGTGTTTGTTTCCTAGATATTTGATTTCAAAGGTTTCATCAGATTAAAGTAATACGAGTCAGTGAAAACAATACTTTATTTGTTTACCATATACTGCCTATTATTCCTTGAAACGTTGAGTAGGGATATTTGTATTGATATAACACCCACTATTTTTTACTAATTTCAAATTCCAGACTCAGAATATCAGTAATGTTTTTATAATAACTATCGTGAGACATACTTAATTAACTAAAATCGCGACAACACCGCGACCGCTCATGAAGAAGAACCCCTCTGTGGTTCGAAACTAGTAGAGCTTTTCTCAGTATACTCACGTGAGTAACCCGCGATTTTAGTTAATATCAGTAATATTTATTTTATATCAATCAATGCAATAAACAATAAACTCAGATCTTGTTTGCAAACGAAACAATGAAATGACACGGTTGATTCAAAGCCGAAGAATAATCATTCCATTTGGAAAGTAATAATTTTATTTATAATAGAATGAATGAATGAGTGAATGGAACTAGGTTGAATGAACTGTATGACCTAGATTCTGTCCAATCGCTGTCCGTGTCTGGTCAAGGATTACGTTCGAGTTCTAGACCCTGTTTTCATTTGAACTCCGGTTTATTAGTTTGCATAGGAAAATTATTGTTATTTATTCGAATTTGGATACTTGCTAGAACGAGTTTTAGAGTTGATCTTGTTTGGTAATATGAAACTAGCTGCTGTCGGCTTTGTCTATGACTCTATAGGATATAGATGATGTGGAAAAAGTAGTCTATTTTTTTCGTTGTGTTTCGTCGTGTGAGTAACCGTAGGCCCAATTACCCCCTCCCCAATCTCCATAATCCTCAAATTTCTCATCCCTAAAATGCCAGTAACGCACTCGTAACACCTCTAGTGTTTTGGGTGTCCATGAGTGACGCTGATTGCTTACCATCAGGTGATTAGTCTGCTCGTCTACCGGCTTATTAAAAATAGACTGGTAGCTTATTATATTACTATAATGTTTATGTAATTTATTATTACTGAATAATTAAAATGAAATTATTAATTAAAATCCCACTCTTTAGAGGATTATAATTATGTCAGAATATGTTTTAGAAAGTAAAATATGACTCACAATATTCATTATCACATACCATTGTAATGTGTATAATTATATCTAGTCTATACGCAAAATAAACGATTTATCATAATTATAATAAACACGATGTTACTAAAACTATTTAGAAGATTCATCCATGCGTGTCACCGTTTAGCCTGTTGGTAAATATATTGTGTTTATGAATGGATTAATGCACGATTCAGAATATTCTTTTGTTATTTCACTGTTTGAATATGGGTTAAGTATGAAGGTTGAATGACAATTTAATACTGGTGCGTATAAATAGCTCGTTGGTTTTGTATCTTGAGGTCTATTTCGAAAATAAAACGAGAAATGTTTCACATTCTGTGGTTTTCAATAATTGGTCTTAATTCAAAAAACTACGAATTGATCTTGATTTTTTGTCAGAAACTCTAGCCCGTGACATTTATTTTGTTTTCATCTCGCAACATAACAACAATTTGCCATAAAGAACTTAATGGCCTGGGTAGAACAATATCCCGCTGTTAAAAAAAAAATTTCAATGATATACAACAATATATAAAAAAGAGTAGGGTAGTAAAACAAAAAAAGGCAGACAGAATACGCCATAAAGAGTAGATACAGTAAAAAAGTTAAAACAAAAAATAAACACGTTAGTTTTTGGTAAGCAAAAATATTCGTTGGTTTTCGCATATATGACACTAGTTGCATGTGAAACGCCCGACGAGTGAAACCTCTTCGAGAATTACATGTTGATTATGTACTGTTCGGGATGTTTTGATTATGTACTATGAATTCGTATGCATTAAGTTTATTTTTGCAATGATTCACCACTTATTTTTAGTTTTAAATATTTTTAATTCTTTGTAAAACTATCGTATTACCGAGACAGAATCCTTTTACTTCGGGACGAAAATTAAATCGAACCAAAAACATTCCGTAAAAAACTAGCCAAGTCTCGATGGAGCCGCTCGTTCATCACTAAAAAGTAATGAAATCTAGACAAAGTCGTGCCAAGTCTAAGGTTTCTTCTGTGATTTTTTTTTTCTTATTGTTAAAGTTGCGTGACTTGGCCGTTAACCGCTACCTACCCATTGAAGATGAAAAATAGCCATTAGAAAAAGTTGATTGAATAAACAGCGGTTCTAGCGACAGATTGGTGCAATGGTGTCTTGCACCTGGTATTGCACTCTTGTGTACCCTTCAACGGCAGTGTTTGTTTCGTGCTCGACTTGGCTGGGGCACTGCCGTGCCCCCAGATAAATTTCACGGTGTATAAAATTAATGTCAAAAGTCTATCTAAACCTATTTTTGATTTTGAATTGAGATTGCTTATTTCAATCGGCAGTTAGATTTTTTAAATAAAACACATAACATTATTATACATACGTCTTTTATCCCCGAAGGGGTAGGCAGAGATGCACATTACGGCGCTTAATGCCACTGTACAATGTAACACCCACTTTTCACTATTTATATTATGAGTCCCATGTAATGGGGGGTGAGCTTATTGCCATATACCAGACGCATTTCTAGACTCCATGCTACTACTGAGATTTTTAAAAACCCAGTAATACTTTGCCCGACTCGGGAATCGAACCCGAGACCCCTTGCCCGGCAGTCACACTTGCGACCACTCGGCCAACGAGGCGGTCAGTCAGTCGAAATAAAACACAATTTTGTAAATGACTACAAATTAGTGTTATATACCACATACACGCAAGAAATATAAACTAACTACCCCTATGTATATACCTTTTGGGAAATAAAAAACCTATTACCTAACAACCAATATTTCTTGACAAGATATAAAACAATATACAAAATTAATTAGGAACATGTCTAGCATAACATTACAAAGTTAATATTTCCGCGACCCAAATCCTTCTAATTGAAGTTTTGAAGGGATTTTGTCATGTTAGCGTTTACTGACATATTTACATTGAGTCCTATATTAATTTGTGGAAATACAATAAGAAAGAAAATCCTTTTTGTAGTAACGAATTGAGGAACACTTACGTATGTCCATGATGATTGCCTCGTTGGCCGAGTGGTCGTAGGTGCGACAGCTGGGTAAGTGGTCTCGGGTTCGATTCCCGAGTATGATCCCGAGTAATTACTCCTAAACTTAATGCATATTTACACTTTGACATATTTGACAGCTGCTGTGATTGGACGAAAGCACCTCTTCCTACATTTGCGCCATCTTTATTTTTTATATATATTTGATGAACCGACTTTCGACCATCTATCTATCATCTATATCTCGCTCGCCATATATCTCGCCTGGTGGTAAGCGATGATGCGGTCTACAATGGAGCACGTCGTCCCATAAGTAACCTATTCACTCGGGCCTTGAAGACACACAGGTTACACAACATCTGGCAAAGAATTTCACTCCTTAGCAGAGTGAGCTAAAATGCGGTAGCCTCTAATTTAGAGACGGTACTACTACTACTAATAATAAGAATTATATAGCCAGTTATATAAACCTAAAAAGAAAAACAAATCTGAAGGCATATAGCTCTCGGAAGTCGCACTAAGCAACCAACAAGACAGGTGCCGAATTATTTATTTATTTATTTAAATAGATATACCAACAGCTTCTGAATACATAGTATTAAGTGATAATGAAATTAACAATAAGTAGTAGGCTTATACAGTCGCCAATTATAGGTTAACCAACATTTAATTACTTAAGTGATAATAAAAACTATAGATACAAATGAACGATTATGTATCAATTAATTATTAATGTATGCATTATTTCATCATCTTCATCAACAGCCTATAAATGCCCACTGCTGAGAAAAGCCTCTTCTCACACGGAGAAGGTTTGAGCATTCATCACCACGCCTGCTCATTGCGGGTTGGTGATTTCAAACTTATAATTAGAAATTATAAGACTAGGTTTCCTCACGATGTTTTCCTTTACCGTTTGTCAGTGGTGTCTGAATAATCTTACAAAGTACATATAACTCGGAAAAAGTCACATTGGTACTTGCCGTTGGTAGGTTTCGAACCCGCACCCTCATGCTTGAGAAGTGGGCATCTAAACCTCCGGGCCACCACGACATATGCATTATTTATTGTAGGTTTTTAGTTCAGAGACACACTTTAAGATGTCAATACCCGTTTTAAGTTGGATAGGTTCCTTGCTCTCCTTTTTGCCAAGTAGGTTGGGTTTGGGACTGAATTTCAATAGGTACCTTTTTATCCTTAACAAACATGCAATCATTTTCAGTTTTCGTTAAATAAATCTATTAACTTGTTTACTTTTGGTTAAGTACTTACTGATGGCTTAATTGAGTATTGAAAAATCGGCCCTAAGGGTACTTTTTTCTAACGCCAGATAAATTTTAACTGAGGAATATCTTTGAATATTTGACAATTCTTCCAAATTAAAAACTGTCAACTGTCAATTTTATTCTACAGTTAAGAATTAACTGATGATTGAAACTCGGCCTGAAGTTAACAAGCCTATGCTCATGAATGAAATTTAAAAGGTATTTGAAAAAAGAACAAAATGTTCGACTTCAACTGATTGAATACGAAAAATAATAATGGTTCCGAAAAACAAATTACTCTCCAGCGATCTGTGGCCGACTATAAAAATGGATCTTCGAATAACAAAACTAAACTTCCGAATAGAATATTGAACCTCCGACAAAATTACTAAGTTACAGACAACAGACATTTTAGGTTAGGTCAGGTTAGTATTGTAGCAATAAACAGTCATGTAAAGTAGTCGGAAAATTAATATTTTAGGCAGTAGATTTAATATTTTCAGTAAGGACAATGCTTCTTTTCTTGTCGTAGCTTTTATTACTACCCATTGAATACTAACTAATTAAGTTGACGTGGTTGTGGGTACAAATGAGGTCTCAATCTAAAATTTTGCGGTATTTTTAGATTTCCAGTTATATCGTCTTATAGTTATAAATAATTTAAACACCCCCTTGCTTAATACTTGTGCGGATTATACTAAACATTATCTCTATTTTCGTTCTATAGGATGCTGTGCCAGATGATAAAGAAGATGTCAGCAGCGCCTCCATTCTGCGTGCCCAACTACTACCACAAACTCTTCGATGATGCTTCGGTAAGTTCATTCAACATTTTATTATTTTTCTCTTGGCTTTTCTGCAACCAAGTGCAATATGCAGGTCAGCTCTGAGTCCTCATCAGGTTCAGATAAAGGGGGGATAATGAAGTTGGTAATCCAAGATCAGGTGAATCTTCTTAAATGGTCAGCAACAAACTTCTCATTCTTTCAGTACTATGGGTCTGTTGATGTTCATGAGTGGCACTGATCGTCTACCATTAGCTACTTATCGCGTAAAAAATAATAAATTCGGTTTTTCAACTCATACTAAATCATGCCATTATCATACGTAGTACGTTAACTAAATATCGCGGGTCAAACACGTGAAATTACTTAGAAAAGCTCTACTAGTTTCGAACCACAAAGGGGTCTTCCTCATGAGCAGCGTGCGCAGTCGCGGCGATGTTGCACAGCCTACTCATCGCCATAGCATTTTAAGTTAATTTAGTATGTCTCACGATAGTTATTAAAAATATACATTTGCATACGTAAATGCAAATAACAACGACGTAGACCCAAAATGTACAAGAGCAGAACGTTGTTCGCCAAAGTTTTAATCATGACATAATTAGCACGCCTGTTTCCTCTTCAGGCATAGGCTCCATATACACTGAAATTTATTAGAGTGAGCACGAACGGTTTCCTATTACAATTTACAATGTTTTTTGTATGCTGAGTCGTCCTGTGTAAATGTACCTCTAATACAAGTTATTTCTAATACATTTAATACATTTCTAAGCGAAAGAGGTATGTGGGAATCGTAGTAATTGGCGTTCCATAGTTTCTGTCTACCTCCATCGGAGACAGGCGTGAAGTTATGTATGTATGTATTTATTATTAGAAACATTGATCTATTTTGACTGCCTCGTTGGCCGAGTGGTCGCAATTGCGACTGCCGAGCAAGGGGTCTCGGGTTCGATTCCCGGGTCGGGCAAAGTATTACTGGGTTTTTAAAAAAATCTCAGTAGTAGCACGGAGTCTGGAACAGTGCCCGGTATATGGCAATAGGCTCACCCCCTATTACATGGGACTCATAACATAAATAGTGAAAAGTGGGTGTTACATTGTACAGTGGTATAATGTGCACCTCTGCCTACCCCTTTGAGGATAAAAGGCGTGATGTTATGTTATGTGTGATCTATTTTGTTAACCGACTTCATTTAGCTAGACTTCGAATTTCGACACAGATACGTGAATAGAGAGAGAAATGGACGAGAATAATAAAGAAATGACAGCATAAACGATGGGAAGACGACTTGAAGCAATTAGCAGGGCCAGAATGGTTACGTGTAGAAAAGGATAGAAACAAGTGAAAATCTTTAGAACGAAGACAAGATTTTGTAAGAGGAGAGAAACCGAATGTCGAGATTTTGTCAGAATAGTCTTTAAGTTTGCTTAATTTCTTAAGTTTTCGTTAAAACTTCGGCACGAATGGGCCGGCTCGATCGGAGTGATACCACGGCATCAAAACCTCAAAACCGACGTGAAGCGACGCTTGCGTTGTGTTTCGTAGTGTGAGTGAGGTTACCGGAGGCCCAATTACCTTCCCCTTCCCCAATCTCCCCAATCCCTGAATCCCCAACGATCCTCAAACTCCTAATCCCCAAAAAGCCGGTGACGCACTTGTAACGCCTCTGATGTTCCAGATGTCCATGGGCGACGCCGATTGATTACCATTAGGTGATCCATCTGCTCGTTTACCGCCTTATACCATAAAAAAAAAGTTTTTTTAATTTTATCTACAGCAATAAAGGCTTGTTTTATTATTTTATTTACGTGGATAAGATAGTCCTCAAACATGCTAATATAACGGCACCAATAATATTATATCAGCTGCACATAGCGACTCGACTATAGTTCCCATATTTTAGTCTAAATTATCACCATACAACCCGACCGAAACCGTCGAATAGGCTCATGATAACACTACCAACAGCTGTGACCTGGTCATTGTGTACCACAATGTCCTCGTAATTTCAGCTCAGACTGAAATCGACTCTATTACGTACATTACAGCCTTCAGAATGCGACCTATTTCCTAGAACGTTGACCTGAAACTAACAAGGGTTTGTTACATACTTCACCTTCAAGTTTCAAGTGTGCATTCGATTTCTTTATTGGAAATAGAACTGTTTTCTTTATTTATAATGGTTGTGTGTAGGTTTTTATTTTAAGTGTTTGTATGTCATATTAACTGCCTCATTGCACGAGTAGTCGCAAACAAGTGCGACTGCCGGGCAAAGGGTCTGGGGTTCGATTCCCGAGTCGGGCAAAGTACTACTAGGTTTTTCATAAAATTCACCGTAGTAGCACGGAGTCTGAAATTGTGCCCGATATATGGCAATAGGCTCGCCCCTTATTTCATGGGACTCATAACATAAGTAGCAAAAAGTGGGTGTTACATAGTACAGTGGCATTATGTGCACCTCTGCGTACCCCTTTGGAATAAAAGACGTGATGCTATGTTATGTTTGCAATATACTGAGAAAAGCTCTTCTAGTTTCGAACCACAGAGGGATTCTTTCTGCCTACTGGCTGCATCGCCGCGACCGCGCATTGAATGCTTTTGTTTTAAGTATTCGTATTTTATATTAATAACTGCCTATGAGGGTCTGATGGTGGAGTATGGAAATACTTTACAAAGTAGAGGATTTGCCTTAATTCCTACTTCTCCCACCAGTGTTGGAGATCGCAGCTAAAAAAGATTAAGTTTATGAAAAAGCTGTTGTCCGGTCTCAAACTCAAACTCAAACTCTGTATTTGCATGTTAAGGTAATACATACAGGTCTTAAATGAAATAACAGGCACATCATAACGGCCTTTTTCAGACGTTGCAAATTTTAGGGCTGTCTCTGTTAAATATGTAATGTACTAGCTACTTCGGCGCGGTTTCAACCGCTCTGCTCGGCTCCTATTAAATGTAGCGTGATGTTTTATAGCCTACAGCCTTCATCGATAAATCGATTATGCAAAACAAAATAATTTTTGTAATCGAACCTGTAGTGCCTGAGATTTGCGCGAAACAAATAAATAAACTCTTCAGCTTTATACCATAACATAATATCACGCCCTTTATCCCCAACGGGGTAGGCAGAAGTGCACACAGAAGTAACACCCACTTTTCACTATTTATGTTATGAGTCCCATGTAATAGGGGATGAGCCTATTGCCATATACCGAGCACAATTCCAGACTCCGTACTACTTACTGAGAATATTTAAAAACCCAGTAATACTTTGCCCGACCTGGGAATCGAACCCGAGACGCCTTGCCCGGCAGTCGCACTTACAACCATTCGGCCAACGAGGCAGTCTAATAGTATTTATAACATAAGATATAAGATTAATTGAATCCTACGACATCCGTATAAAGAAAAGGCGTGGTAATTTCCGTATGTATTCTACTCGCCCCATATAATTCGACAAATCGTTTATACATTCGTGTAAACATTGTTTGTTTGTTCGTATGTTATTTATGTACGCTTAGAATATATTGATATAAATATGTATCATGTATGAAGTATTCTGGTTTATTTATTTTTCATTGATTTTATTTGGGCTGGATATTGAATCGTACAAATACGTGTTGATATAAAATTAGGGCTGTTTTCTCCAATTACATATTGACGTGACAACGTCTTATAAATTAGTTTGCCGGGTGACACTTCAAGAAACTGCGTTACGCTCCGCTCACGTTATGCGCTCACAATGAGAGCGAGTGAGAGGCACGCGTCCCTTCCACTCGGGCATGGTTAGCCCGCCTAAGAGCGAGAGAGACAGACATAAAAAGTGAAAGGCACGCGTCCCTTCCACTCGAGCACAGTTAGCCCGCCTAAGAGCGAGAGAGACAGAGCGAGAGAGAGAGAGTGAGAGAGATAGGCATACACACCGGTTCATGTCTTGCGCTTCATTATTTCATCCTTCTTCCTACTATACGAATGAATATTCACATAAAAATTATTTTACCACTCAAAGTCGTTGTCACGTAAAACTTTCGCCCGTATACCGACTTTACAGGCAACCAATTTTTTTTTATTACTATGAAAAATAATATGGTTTTTCATAACTCAATTGCAGACTTGGTGGATGCGATGATTTGTGCTATTAGACAGTCAACAGATCGATTCTTAGCTACAGAAGACGTGTACTGATGAGTTTTATTCAAATCGAACAAAAATGTAATGAAATGATGGAAAAATCTTAACAACTCGCAATAAATTACGGCACTTAATGCCACTGTACAATGTAACACCCACTTTTCACTATTTATGTTATGCCTCCCATGTAATAAGGGTTGAGGCTATTGCCATATACCGGGCACAATTCCAAACTACGTGCTACTACTGAGATTTTTTTATAAACCCAGTAATACTTTGCCAGACCTGGGAAACAAACCCGAGACCCCTTACCCGGCAGTCGCGTTGCGACCACTCGGTCAACGAGACAGTCATTTTTTATGCTTTTACAAACTTTATTGAATAACTTAAATGCATGATGTCATATGCTAAGAAAATAAAGGTTTCTTTTAAAACGAAGCAAGTTAAGTACATTAACTAAAATCACGGGTTACTCACGTGAATATACTAAGAAAAGCTCTACTAGTTTCGAACCACAGAGGGGTTCTTCCTCGCGACGTCGGGCACCTCACTAACCTGCTCAGTAACCCGTGATTTTAGTTAATTTAGTATATCTCACGATAGTTATTATAAAGTTAAGTACATGTTGCTATGGTAACTACTCTGAATCCTTGCTTGGATGTAAGTTTACTGACGTATATTCAACGGGAACTGTTAATAAAGATCGAGTTACAAATACTAGGAAGATTGCAATCTTTATACTAAGTGGGGTTTAAAGCTTAGTTAGATAAGTGGGTTATCAGGCCGGTACAGGCAGGGAGTAAAGTTATTAGCTATTACTTAAGATTTTGACTGCCAATAGAAAACTGTGACTACCTCGTTGGCCAAGTGGTCGCAAGTGCGACTGCCGGCTGAGGGGTCTCGAGTTCGATTCCCGGGTCGGGCAAACTATTAATAGGTTTTTTCAAAAAATCTCAGTAGTAGCACGGAGTCTGGAAATGTGCCCGTTATATGGCAATAGTCTCACCCCCTACTACATGGGACTCATAACATAAATAGTGAAAAGTGGGAGCTACACTGTACAGTGGCATTAAGTGCCGTAATGTGTACCTCTGCCTACCCCTTCGGAGATAAAAGGCGTGAAGTTATGTTATGGGTAGAAACCTGTTTTAGGAAAATCCTCCGCTAACGTCGGTCACCGCTGACCCCCATGACGTTTAATGTGTTAATGCTTTTAATTTTTTAATACCTTTAATATTGTAGTCATCATCATCATCATCAACAGCCCACAAATGCCCACTGCTGAGCAAATCCTCTTCTCACACGGAGAAGGTTTGAGCATTAATCACCACGCTTGCTTAATGCGGGTTGGCGATTACAAACTTATAATTAGAAATTATAAGCCCAGGTTTCCTCACGATGTTTTTCTTCACCGTTTGTCAGTGGTGTCTAAATAATCTTAGAAAGTACATATAACTCGGAAAAAGTCACATTGGTACTTGCCGTTGGTAGGTTTTGAACCC